TATATATATATATATATATATTAGCTCAGTAAATTATTTTTTATTTAGATTCAATATGTTTGATTAAATAAATTACCTTAATATGTATTTTTTTTTTGTCAAAAATTTTTATCTATAAAAAATTAAAGTATTATGTATTGTAGTAGTTGTTTATAACCTTTAATCCGTAACAGAATAATTTGTTTTTGTTAAGTCAATAAAGTTGGCTAATGTTTTAATTATAATTGTTTTTAAAATATTTCAGTTCTTGAAAACCGAGTTATAAAACCGATAAAACTAAATTTAATTTGGTTGGATTGTATCAGATTTGAATTTAGTTTAAATTATTCGGATTCATGTTTCTAAACCAAAATCCATTTGGATTCACTTGATTGGATTGGATCGAACCGATCCATATAAACAAACAACTCTTTCATATATCTTAAAGTCTCGTCCTGGTTCTAACATGATACGATGATGTACAAAGGATATGTACAGTGGGGCTTGACATTACATCGATATAGCCGAGTCAGCTCGACAAACATCACGCCCTCAACTCGGCATGTCGAGCTCAGTGCTCTAACGCGGTAGGTTCTACGAAGTACATCTCCTCTCTCACCCATACATCATCTTCTATTCTTCTTTGTCCTCTCCCTCTTCTTCCGTCTTCCTTTATCCCCACTGTTTGGCATCCTGTTCAGCAAAATAAGATAGAGGTGGAGAAGCTTTTCCTTTATCCCCACTGTTTGGCATCCTGTTCAGCAAAATAAGATAGAGGTGGAGAAGCTTGAGGTGGAACTCAGTTGAGTTGACACTACTCCTTTCAGCCTAATAAGATCACAAACATAATAACTTTTAGATATCTAAATACATGATTGTATATAAAAGAGATTTGTAACTCTCAGTTTCTCTTCTTATTAAGTTTCTCTTCTTTTTAAGTAAATTAATATACATATTCTTAAAGCTACAAGTTCAGAACAGTATGAAGTATTAATGAAATTTCATCTTATTATATTTTTGTATTCGTAGTAATTTATTAATATTATATATAAAAGAAAAGAGAGTGGGAAAAATAAACGTTTGATTCATGCTAAATTGAAGCAATCGACGATTTCTTGGTAGCCTCAATAGTCGCACCGTAATTAACATAATCGAAACTGAAATCGAGGGGTTTCTTGGGAGTTACGATGCTACGGTTAACAAATCCCCATAAATCCTTCACCAATTCTCTGATTTTCATAATTCTTCTTTTCTGCTTCTAAAATCTCGATTTCTATTATTCTCTAACTTCTCTTAAAGACTCAACTTCATGCCTAAAGTGAGGTTTCTATGATCCGATTCTCGAGTTTCAACCAAAACCTGTAAGGCTGCAACTTCTTAGTCATAGATTTTAAATAAATATTATAAAGATGGATAGAAACAAAAAGGTAGAATGATATTGATTTCTCTACCTAAAATACATTTTAATAAAAAATAAAAATTAAACATATCAACAATTTTAAATAAATATTATCGAAGTAAATGTGGTTTTATAAGAAGCACGATAAAAAAAAATTTACGTTAAAAATTACCTATTTTCTAAATATTTAAAATTTTCACGGATTAAATAATTTATGATTTTCTTGTCACTTTTTAAAATTTCATGTCAAATACAATGACCTAAAGACTTTGTTACCAAATGTCCGAGGATATTAGTAGTGTCTGTCAGCTGCCCTTTAACAATGAGGGTTCTATTTGTTTGTGAAATATATGATTTTTTTTCCTCTAAAACAACAAAAAATAAAATGAAGCTGATAAATGAAATGAAATACAAGAAATATGATTAGAAATGACAAATCAGCCCTAACACTATTTGGATTTGCATAGGCAGGCCACTCGTAAATCTTTGTCCAAGATTTGTAATATGGGGTCTTGGGACCATGCCAATGTGGCATGGACCATTTCATACGCTTGAAATGATTCCATCAATTATTTAGAAACCCTTGGTTTTGAATAATATTTTCCATTTTACATTTTTTTTAATAAATAAGAAACTTGGATATGTTTTTAGTAAGTTATATTTTTAAAATTAAATAACCAATAAGTTCCATATCATTGAATCAAATCAACTTGAAGTGATTCCATTAATCATTTTGAAACCATTACTATGATAGAATGGAATATCTAAAGTTTGAAATAAACAAGCGTAATATGACAAGTTAACAACAACGTAACAGATTGATCATTGTATATCATTGTAGTATTGGTTGGGTAAAAAATAGAATTCGCTATTTAAAATTAAAAATGTTGTTTATTTTTCAATAAATATAAAATTAAGTAGGGTAAATTTATTAAATTAAAAAAGAAACAATGTTATTTAATAGCATTAAATTTTAACAAAATATAACATATATCTAGCATATTCTAGTTAGTTAAAAGTACATGTTATATACTTTACAAATAATTAAAAAAAAAAAAAAACTAATCTATTATCTATTATAAAAAAAATTATACAAAAAGTACTAGATATAATAAAATATTGAAATATATTATAAGATTTTCTATTTATTTAAAAAAACATAAGAAAAGTATATAGTTATAGCCTTATAGGTTACATAAACAACTAAATATGTAAAACTTATTTATAAACTTCTAAATTTTTATAAGTAGTAATGATAAATTTTCAAAATATAAATGCTCATATGTCACCTCTATAGTATGTAATACTTGAGGTGTCCAAAAGATTATTGTACTCGAGGCCATTGCATTCCTCTCAACATAGATTATTATCATGTGGTCGTGTGTCCGAGGAATAGTGTATTTGAAATGAAATATCCCACAATTTGGTTGGCAAATTAACATTATTTCATCTATATAAAATTATATAAAATTGAAAATGATTTGTAAACAACAAATTTATTTCGTACATAATAATTTATGTTATATCAAATTATTATGTATGGAAAAATATATTGTCTACGAATCAATTTTCATATAAAATCTACCAAAAACTTTGTCAATGATTCTATAACTAGGTGTGAGACCCATGTATTACATGAGTTTATTTAAAAGAAAAACTAAATACAAAATTCTAAACATTTGAGAAGTTTGAATTTATAACAAAAATCAGAAAATATTGAATTATAAAAATTAAAGTGTTTTTTTCTTTTTTAAATTTAAACAAATAATTTAGATAAATAAAAAAAAATTAATGAATCTTTAATTTAGTAATTTTGAAATTAGAAGGAAAGTTCATTAATGAAATTGATATGAATTTATTATTGCATTTAAATACTATCTAAAATTTAATAAAATGAAAAAAACCATAAAATGACACGTGAAATAAACATTAATTTAAAATAACCACAAAATTAAATGTGGCAAATAAATGAGAAAATGACATGTGACAAAAAAAAATTATTTATTAGAGAGGATTTTTAATTTAAGACGGGAGGAAATAATTAAATTCCATTCATTTTTATTAAAAAGAAAAATGATCTCCCCCTATCCTGTTTAATTATACCACTAATATGTATATAATAATTAAAATATTATTATAAATAATTTTTTTAATACGATGTTATAATTATAGTTAATTATCAGTATTATCAAGTAAATATTTTTTGTTTATGTATTTTAACATTCTATTCTCATGTATTTTTATAGCAATATTATATATTATTTTAGTAAGCGTCATATTTTGAAAATTCTATACCTTTATTATATTTATACGTTTATTAATTTTTATAATACTTTGAATAAAAACTCCCAAATTATATTGGCACTAACTGTTTGCATTATTAAATAGATTTTTTCAGAAAAAAAAACGCACTAGTAATTAAGATAAGATTGCAAACACGGTCCTTAAGGTTTTTGATTTTATATAAATAAGGTCTTTATTATTTCAGTATTACAATTTCGTCAGGTTTCGTTTTGATTTTTGTTCTTTCAAATCTGAAATGACAAACTTGCTCTTATTTAATTTCTTTTTAATTTTTCTTTCGTAATAACTAAAAAAATGGATACACAACCATCTCTCTCTCTCTCTCTCACACAAACACACTAGAAAAAGTTGACATTAAACATACAAAATCTCCTAAACACCAACCATATCTGCTACCAATATGAAGATTATTGAGCCTCCTATGGGTGAGGAGGTGAAACATGGAATGGAAATGTTTGGAGATGTTAGGGTTGTGAATTACTACCGGCTCCATGATTGTTCTTTTTATAATCCTGAAGTCATTTCATACTTTCAACAAGAAAATACTTATACTAATTATAGAAAAAGTGAAAATTCAACACACATACACACCCATCTAAGAAATGTGGATGAACACACACCACCATAACCCTCTTTTGAACGTAATGAAAACACACATTGTTTACGGGTTTTTGATTTCTACAAAACGTTTGAGTATGTATATGTGTTTAAGCCCATATTAAAAACTCGAATATGCCAATCTTGAAGATCATTTGATTTATGGAAAAAGGATTAACAAAACACTCACATTGATTAATTTTGACATATACGTTAACATATACTTAAGAACACACATGATTTTAGAATTCAAACACTGGTGTTTGTGTTCTTGATCAAGAAAGTAGAGAATGAAAGGGAATTTTAGGGTTACAGAAACACCTTCATATGTCATCATGTACGTACTTAACGTACATGGTGGCTCAGGTGGTGGCCATCTACATCAACTCCACACTAGAGAGTGTACATGCTATCGGAGAAGGTCAAAAGAAATGTGATTTTAGGATTTCAATGATTTCGTACAAAAAAAGAAGGAAATGGATGGTGGGGTGGGGGTGGGGTGGGAATATATTTTATATTTTAATATTATTAAATTTTTAATAAATATAAAGAAATTGAAACAAATAATTCATAAGGGTAAAATAGCCATGTTAATTTTGTCAATAAGCAAATCCACAACAAAAGCTAATAAAAAAGATGAAATTTGCAATTTTGAAACAATTAGGACCTAACCATATAAAATGACAAACCATGAACCGTTTTTTAAATTTTGTCACTTTTAATTGTTAAAAGTTAAAGATATAAAAAAGTCTATATATTACACAAATAAAGTAGATAATCATCATTTCTTATATTTATCCCTAAAAACAATATCAAACTTATTATATAACATTCTATTACTATTAATAATATGAATTTATATATTTCATGAGTCATAAATGCA